TGGCTCTAGGGAACCGGGCGAAATCCCAGAGTATTTAGCCTTACCCATGCATGCGGGGCTCTGCGTGAACAGCGTGAGCGAATCGTTTAGTTCCCTAGGTACTCGTGGGATCAAAATGGATCTTAGTCTAACATCATATAAAGTTAGCATGGAGATCGAGAAGCGCGGGACCTTGGAGACTGAGGCTGGAACGATTGCGACCGAAGCTCATTTGGGCCCTGGAGGCATGGTGGTCTCTAAGTCAGGACCAGCTGTCGCTGAGAATTGCACTCTTAAGAAGAATCGCAACGGAGCGAAAAAGAGGAAGGCCAGGCGGGAGCGGGAGAGAGCTTTAAAAGGGGCTCTTATGTGCCTTGCAGGTTCTCTTCGCACACCAAATGGGGTGATACACCAACGGTAAACATCAGAAGGGCTCTAATGAAATCTCCCCTTCGGTAGAAAGACCCAGTAAGAAAAGAAATAGAGCCCAAAGTGCGACCTATGCGGACGCCAATTAAACATTTTCTTTTTCTTTTTTAAAATGCGTTTTTAAAAACCTCTACATTTTTTTCATCGAGATATTTAAGTTTTTGTAAAATACAGGAAAACCGTAAGTGTTCCCGAATATATAAACAGTATTATATTTTCAACTTGTTAGAAAAAGAATCTCAATTTATTACAATTAACATTTATAAGGACGGTTTACGCGAGCAAACATTGAAATCTAATTTCTCGTTTGAATGTAAATTTTACATAACACTCAAGAACCTACCAGGGCAAGCACCTGGTCCATACGAAATATCATCGATTGCGATATCCCCCATGCCGGTGATTCCTACTGATGCTTCGAAAACTAGCTGATAATCATCGAGGGAGCTGATTGTAACTTGTGACATGAACCAGGCATTGCCTGCGTTTCCGGACAGACCCCAAATCTCTTGTAGCTGTGTATCTGAACTGCGATAATGACGTAGAAATAACTTTAGGTAACCGATTCCAGTTCCAAACATGTGGAACCAGAAATGCATGCACATTGGTGCATCCAACATTGTTGCCGGGAAGCTCGAACTTAAGAGTTTCGCCGTGTCGCCAGGTCTTCGCGGAAATCCGGAATCGATGAAAGCGTAACCACCGGCTGTGGCACGGTCACTGGAACTATCCATCGCTGGACCGGTCGTGGGATTTGCGCTTCCGCGACTCTAAAAATATACATTCTCAAACTATCAACATATAAGCGCAGAATAATAAAGTTACATAAAACTTGGTAGCGCATTTACTATAGTCCAGTCGAAATCATCTTCCGGATCATTGTTCCAGTCACAGAAGCCAGCGGCAAAGTTACAGAATCCAACGCACGACGTACCAAGCTGCAGATCTATGTCATCAATAGCGATATATCCGCGGTACAGACGCGATGGATCCGTGGAGTCTACTGGCACGCCTTCAATAACTATCTAATTGGCAAAATTTTTATTATTTTCTAGAGACACTGATAATATTATGAAACACGAAGTGCTAAAAATATTAGCAACATATAGAAAATATAGTTTAGAGAAAAAGTTTGATATGTTCCAACATTATATATGATGAGTTGTGACTGACAAACAAATAAAATATTATATTTGTAAATGAATTTGAAAACGTCTGTAATGTTAATTTTTTTCGTCGAACAATTTATATCTTTAACCTATATTTGTTGAACAGTCACTATGCTATTTGAATAAACTACAAAAATAGTTGGAAAACGTTAAACATAATTTCTCCAGTATCAATAATTTTAACATAAAGGT